TACGATAATAGTGAAAAGTGTTCCGTCTCAGCAGTCTGAAATAGTGAAAAGTCTCAACAGTCCCCACCATGCACCTTCTTTCCATGTTCTGGTCCTTACTTCAATGTTCCTCGTTTCGTGGCCAATCCCCGGAGGACACAGTACTAAGCTCTTTATTTATATTTATTCATGTATTTTTTTAATTCCATCGGCGGGATCCAACAGGCTGAAAAGCATCTAACCCAGTGGGCCAGCTGTTCCGTCGATGGTGAAAAGGGTGTCCGCCGATAACATCGCGGCAAAAACATCGCGGACGAAAACGTCGCGGAGAAAACAACGCAAGGCGAAAACGTCGTGGTACAAAACATCGTGGGAGAAAACATCGCAAAGAGAAAACATCGCAGTTCTAAAACATCGTGGTACAAAACATCGTCGTCGAAAATAAAGCGGTTCAAAAACTTCGCAGTTTAAAAACATCGTCGTCGAAAATATCGTGGTAAAAAATAAAGTATCTACAAATCATCGCATGACGATAACATCGCAGACATGCTTTTTTCAGGCTTTAATAACTGTAAATGGATATTCCCATAATGATTTGTGAGCGCAAGATGTAAAGAAGGATAATTTTTACTTTCACTTTTTTTATTAACTAATAAATGTTTTGCTGGAAACGTAAGAAGGAAACTTAAGCATAGAAAATTAAATGCAACTTATAGATTATACCTTTCATGAAAATTACCAGTAAAAACTTTATATAAAATGGGCCTTTGTTAGTTAACTATGTCGGTTTAAAATTTTATTAAGTGCTATAAGTTGCATTAATTTTCTATGCTTAAGTTTCCTTTTTGTTTTCTCAGCAAAAATTTATTGATTAACAAAAAATATGAAAGTAAAAATTATCCTTCTTTCCATCTTGCGCTCACAAATCATTACGGGAATATCCATTTATAAATGGTTATTAAAGCTGAAAAAAGCATGTGTGCGATGTTATCGTCATGCGATGATTTGTAGATACTTTAATTTTTACCGCGATATTTTCGACGACGATGTTTTTAAACTGCGAAGTTTTTGAACCGCTTTATTTTCAACTACGATATTTTGTACCGCGATGTTTTCTCTTTGCGATGTTTTCTCCCACGATGTTTTGTAGCACGACGTTTTCGTCTTGCGTTGTTTTCTCCGCGACGTTTTCGTCTGCGATGTTTTTGCCGCGATGTTTTCGGCTGTAACCGGTGAAAAGAAAGCAAGAAAGTCGATGAAGAGACAAAACCGCAAAATTTGACGTCTTATCTATCAGTGTCCATTCCATCCACAAACGACACATTCCTTACAAAATGTGAAAGCTGTTTTCCTCCCGGTAAATTGCTTAATATAGTGAAACCTTTACATTTATATGTCATTCAGAATATGAAAAATATTCTATAAACCTTCAAAATATGACTACAGGAAACACACGGAAAAATTTAAATATTCATGAGGCTACGAATATGATCTAACTTAACTTGCCTGGATTTAAATAAAACCACAAACAATTAAAAATTGCTTCATTAAAAGGTGAGGTTTCGAACCCAGAGTCAAGGGAAATTATTGACAATGAAAATGATGATGAAATTATGATTATGGATGAAAAGAACTGAAAACTACTGGGATTAGACATCACAATCAAGAAATACATAAACTTTGATGCCAGTGTAATGAAGTCAGACTTATGCATAGCCGAAGAATTGATTGAAAACGGTTTGCCAGTTGAACATTTAAGTAACGGGGATAAAGAACAAAATGAAGAAATATTCCGACCTTATTTTCAAAATGATATCTACTGTACTGACACCCTCAGAAAATTCTCTGGGTGTGTACAAGCAAAAAAAAGATTTCGAGAACTGAATTCGATTTAGATCTTTTTGCTTAAGGTTCAGAATCAAAATACACCTCAGACAACAATTAAAGAATTTTATGCTAAAAGAAGTTAAAAGTTGCTTTCAAATGTTTTTAAAGCAACATTAAAAAAAAAAGGGACTTATTCGAGACGGTAATTCAAGCAAAGGTATGCCATTTTTTGTTTTAGTTTTACGTAAGGATGTAAGGAAATTTATCTACACTTAAAAAAATTAAATTTGCATTAATATCATTTTTTAAAATATTAATTGTAAAAAAATGTTTAATTTGTTTATTTGTTTAAAATATTGACATTAATTAAATAGTTATTTAAAATCTTTATTTTAAATTTGTTTGAATATAATTAATATTTACATCTTTCTCATTTATACATCCTTTGTGAATGGTCCCTTTAAAGAGGTGTAAACGGTGTTCCACTGTATTATTTGGTCATTCAAAGGCAAATGAATTTCTTGAAAAAGGGATATCTATATTCTGTCAAAATACATACAGAAACACGTTTTCGAAATGAGTATTATCCTTAAGTGAAATTTTGCCTAGTTTTAAGCATGCCGATAATTTATGTTTCTATTTTTAAAATGAAAATTAATTTAAAATCGCATGTATTAGTAAAACTTTTGAGATATAAATTATTTATTTTATATTAATTATAATGAGAAAGTTTTTCTAGATTCGTTTTTAAGCAAACTAAATAATAATAAATGCTCATTATCACAATACAAGTAGTCAAAGCAGTATCTATTTTGGGTGAAACCAATTATATTAAAAAAGTCAAAGAATCCAAAAGGCTTTACCTTTGCTACCGAAATTTATGAACCCTTTCCTCACATAATGAGATAATTTTACTAATGTTAAATAATTTTCCTTACACAACGAGAGGAAAGATTATCCATTTAGCTAAGCGAACATGAAGCGAATAATTTTCTAGATCGATTATCATTAAATGCATTGCTTCCCGTAGCCTGTTATGAATTTCTTGCCAAAAGTGAATGCCCAAGTTCTGGAACATCTGCAAGTTTCATTACGTACACGTCTACACATCTTCTATCATCTGAAATGTAAATTAATGTGTAGTTGAAAGTGTTAACATACATGAATAATTAATTCACTGCATTTTGTTCTTGAGAATTTTCTTCGTAATTAAAACAGACTTCACTTTCAGGGAAAAACACTTGAATTTTATTTTCAGGTTCACAATAATTTGACAAAATCTGGATCTTATATGAGAAAGTAAACGATAATATTACATATATTGTTAATTGTGATAAAATTTACTTTTTTAAAGTGATTTTTGCTCACTAGTAAGAAAACAAATAATACTTAACAAGTGTCAGTGAACATGGCAGACAATAAATATCGAAAAATTTGCACAAGAACACAACACATAACAAGTAATATAAATATATTATTACTGATGCTTTAAACAAGTATACAAGTATGGAACAAATTGAAATTGCTTATTTTTATTATTTATTATATTCTATTTAAATCAGAAACAGCACCACGATTTCAACATACATACTAGTCTGTAATATATCACTCAGTGGGCAAAAATAAAATCTTATAATGACTACTAACTTGATATAACATGACAAATATTTATTATTTACAACTGATAATTGTCATGTGATAAAATTTTTATCTTCTTAAAATCAGCAAAGCAATTAGCAATAATTTTAGAACAATAACAAGATAAATTTTGTTTTAAGTCAATATCTTTGACGATTTGCTATTCAGTAATATTTCAATAAATATTGCATTTAATATTGCATACTTTAATGTGAAATAATTAGCATAGACCCTTAGCACACTTACATTGTTAAACTGTACATATTACGTTTTTACATTTAGAATATATAGCATAAGTGTTGCTTTAATAAGTCAGATTTATATATAACAGATAAATTTAGAATATACTCGTATTTATTAAACTTTATACAGCATTGTTACGGAAATGTTCATTATCAGTAAAAACAAATTTCTGCAGAAATAATGCAGTATCAAACTGATATGAACTCTCATAAATATCTTGCTGGAGGAAAGGTGGGCTGAATTATGCAGGAAATTTTGATCAATGAAATAAGATCAGTTTAAAGATAATTTTTTTTGCAAACTCTGATAATAAACAAGCTCGTAATTATAGTTCTGCAGTTTTTCTCCTAATGAGTATCATTATCTCTCATATCATTGGATTTCACACTTAATGATTTGACATATAACTTTGAAATACACTATCAAAATTCAAAAGAAACGATGAATTTTATTGCAGGCTGTAATAAAAAATTCATATTCTCTCTTAATAAAAGTAAAATAGCTAATTAAAAAATTTTAACTTTAAAGCATCATTATAGTAAAAAGTAATTAAATATCTTTTTTAATTCAAAATTTGAGTGCTTTGCTTACAAAAGACTTTTAGGAATTTTTTACCACCACAAATAGTGTAATTTTTAACAGCATTCTGCCAAACTCTTACATTCGTCCAGTAGAATGTTCCGTAAAAACGCTTATATCTCAGGAAATTAAAAAATTGCTTTTATTTTCTAATTTAATATAGCGTGAATTACTAATGCGTTTATAAGTATAATTTACAAGGACGCATTTATATTTTTTTTTACTAAACTATAACAAATGAAACAGGGAAATTAAACTGTAAAAGATCCTTGTTTTGTGAATTTTATCCATTTAGTTTAATGGCTGGATCGCGCATGCGCGTTTGTAATCTCCGTCGAAATTATAGAAGAAAAGTACACATAATCAAAATAAATGCGCTTCCTTATATGCACTGTTATAAAGATTGAAAATTGGACTGTCTTTTATTAAGATATATAACAAATTAACTTCTTTTTTAGCAAATGAAATATGAATTTTCGCCTTTCTTAAAAAGTAATTTGCATAAATTAACGTACTCAGTGGGTAAATTTATATTCGTTTTTAAATTCTGCGCATTTTCTAGCGTTTTTATTGTGGTATATTATAAAACAATTGAATTTTTTATGCGTAAATTTTGTTTAAATTAAATTAAATTAATTAAAACCAATTAAAGTTAATTAAAACCTTATTATTTACATTTTTTAAATGGCGTCTTTTAATTATAATTGATTTCATATTGATTTTTTCCTTTTTTACTATTTTTATCATTCTTCTTGTCTCAAAATTAGTATTTAAATAAAATATAGTTAAGTCAGTAGTTAAAATAAAGAAAGCAAAGAAACTAGCTCGTATACACGAGGTTTCAATAAGAAATACATTTATGAGCGAATACGGCCAATAACTTTAATTTCGATTGGGTACTTAAGTACTATCGCAACCATCTTGGCGCAATTTGGCGATTTTTGAGGATTACAATGCAAAAGTTACTTAGCAAGTGCAAGTTGGCGGTTTTTGCGCCTTCTTTTTTTAGAAAGATTCCCAATCTGTCGATATTTATAATAATCAAATTTGGTAAACAATATCAACATAGGAAAAGAAAACATATTTTAGCAATTTAAAATACAAATTTCAATTAGCAAATAAGGATTATGTCATACATTAAAAAATAAAACACATTCTTCGAATCTTTCTGTGATTTTGTTTCCTACTTTAATCTTCTCCCGAAGTACACAGCGATCTATTTCCACTTAAAAATATCAGACAACTGCATAGACTCCGCTTCGCGCAATCTTCGACAACATCGGCTATCTAAAGAATGCATTTCCTCGTTGTTTGCCTTTAAAAAATTTTCAGGAAAATTCAATATTACTGCCGAAATTTTACCGTAGGTTCTTCCATTGCTGACGAATTTCAAAAGCTCATATTTTGAAATTGAGTTGAAGAGAAAAAATATGACGAATTGTATATAAAAACGTTGGAACACAACAAAATACAACGCATAAGAAAATGGTGGCGTTGCTGGACTGAAACGATTATTATAAGCATGGTTGCTGGAACAATGGTTATGCGCATGGTTGCCAGATTTTGGCACTTTACTCAAAATTTGGCTTTTTTTACTAAAGTAGTTGCGATACTACTTAAGTACCGTCGATTGCTTTCAATTAGAAAATTTATGTAAGAACCGTAAATGCAGATTTTTCTCTCCGTAAAAAGTGGTTAGTAGTTAATTGCCCTTTTTCTCACAATCTAGTTACATCTAAACCATTTGGTACTAATTGCTAAGTTAGCAGGTTTTCGTTGTGATATATATTTATCACAAGTTTTTTTTTTTATATCTTTTGTATTTTATTTATGTGTATTCATTTTAAAGTTGAATTTTTGACTTTGAAATCAAGTAGAGACACGACGAAGCCACGTAATATTTTAAGGCTGACAGAGTAAAAATAGTTAAGATTAAATCAATTTGTTTGTGTCTACTGATAAAATACTTCTAGTTAAAGATTTACTAGAAATAGTTTTCATCAACAAGATCAAACAACAACAAATATTAATGCATTAGGCAAACAGATGCAAATACAATATTTTCTCAAGCAAGATACATGAGAGTTTCTCTTTGTATAGTATATCACGAAACACGGCATGATAATTCATTCTACAATCTAAACTGCAAAGACACATACAGTATATATTTATATACATATATATGTATATATAATTATGTATATAATTTTATTGTTAAGGCTTCTCTAATTTTGTAATGAACAAGTAAATATTCGAAATTTTTTAAGTACTTGTAATACTCCACAAGCAGAAAAGTGAACGTTCATGAAAAATGTCGCTTCGTTGTTGAAAGACTGCTTTACTAATTTATAAATAGTACATCGCATTCAAACTGCAAGCAATGCGTACCTCAGAATCTTTATAAACCATCCAAAATCTGTGAAAGAGTTCATCATTGTGTACAAGAATTTATTTAAAACGAAAATTAAGTTCTTTAAGTGTGTGCTTAATATAAATCAAAAGGAAAGTGTTAAATTTTATAAAAATCGATTGATGGAAAATAGAGATTAAAAAAGCAACTCCTAAAAACGTTTCTTTAAGGGCCATCACTTGCATTTGCTTTGTAAATTGGAAAAAAAATTAAAATTTAGAGTTAAAAATTTAATAGGTTATCTAATTAATTAATGGAATCCTTTTCATTTGTATACTCTTATTTTTCCAATACTTAAAAATAGCGCGTTAGTGGCGCCATCTATGGAATAGATAATTAACTAAAAGCAGAGGATCACATATTACATAGTTACCAAATATTTTATAGTAAACGTATTATTTCATACTAATACAATGCATTCCTGCTTGTACTGAAAGGAAATAATAAGGTGTCCTCAAAACCCCTAAACAACTTTACCCTATTATTGCCAGCATTCTGTAAGAGGTGGTGCTGTGAATGTTTGTAGTGCCATTAGATACATATCAAAGTTTTTTTTCAACAATTTGCTTTGATTTAATATACACATAATGTGAGGATTTAAGGATCCGAAAATCCTCATATACAAGGAAGCTGAAGCAGGACAGATCGAAAGTGAATGTTTGATGTGAGATGTTGCATACGACTTTAGGACCATTTGCCTTCAATGGTCAGAGTTTGCCTCGGTAAACTGACTAAGTATATTTGTCCACAGTTGGAGGACTGTAAAAAAGAGGTCATTTTATCGCATGTCAGGGTTGTGTAACTTGTGACACTTGTCAGAAAGGTTTGAACCAGGTTGACACTTGTCACAAAGGTTTGAACCAGGTTGACACTTGTCACAAAGGTTTGAAGCAGGATAGATCGAAAGTGAATGTTTGAAGTGAGATGTTGCATAAGACTTTAGGACCATTTGACTTCAATGGTCACAGTTTGCCTCGGTAAACTGACTAAGTATATTTGTCCACAGTTGGAAGACTGTCAAAAAGAGGTAATTTTTATCGCATGTCAGGGTTGTGTAACTTGTGACACTTATCACAAAGGTTTGAACCAGGTTTGACACTTGTCACAAAGGTTTGAAGCAGGATAGATCGAAAGTGAATGTTTGAAGTGAGATGTTGCATAAGACTTTAGGACCATTTGCCTTCAATGGTCAGAGTTTGCCTCCGTAAACTGACTAAGTATATTTGTCCTTAGTTGGAGGACTGTCAAAAAGAGGTCATTTTATCGGATGTCAGGGTTGTGTAACTTGTGACACTTGTCACACAGGTTTGAACCAGGTTGACACTTGTCACAAAGGTTTGAAGCAGGATAGATCGAAAATGAATGTTTGAAGTGAGATGTTGCATAAGACTTTAGGACTATTTGCCTTCAATGGTCAGAGTTTGCCTCGGTAAACTGAGTAAGTATATTTGTCCACAGTTGGAGGACTGTGAAAAAGAGGTCATTTTATCGCATGTCAGGGTTGTGTAACTTGTGACACTTGTCAGAAAGGTTTGAACCAGGTTGACACTTGTCACAAAGGTTTGAACCAGGTTGACACTTGTCACAAAGGTTTGAAGCAGGATAGATCGAAAGTGAATGTTTGAAGTGAGATGTTGCATAAGACTTTAGGACCATTTGACTTCAATGGTCACAGTTTGCCTCGGTAAACTGACTAAGTATATTTGTCCACAGTTGGAAGACTGTCAAAAAGAGGTAATTTTTATCGCATGTCAGGGTTGTGTAACTTGTGACACTTATCACAAAGGTTTGAACCAGGTTGACACTTGTCACAAAGGTTTGAAGCAGGATAGATCGAAAGTGAATGTTTGAAGTGAGATGTTGCATAAGACTTTAGGACCATTTGCCTTCAATGGTCAGAGTTTGCCTCCGTAAACTGACTAAGTATATTTGTCCTTAGTTGGAGGACTGTCAAAAAGAGGTCATTTTATCGGATGTCAGGGTTGTGTAACTTGTGACACTTGTCACACAGGTTTGAACCAGGTTGACACTTGTCACAAAGGTTTGAACCAGGTTGACACTTGTCACAAAGGTTTGAAGCAGGATAGATCGAAAGTGAATGTTTGAAGTGAGATGTTGCATAAGACTTTAGGACCATTTGCCTTCAATGGTCACAGTTTGCCTCGGTAAACTGACTAAGTATATTTGTCCACAGTTGGAAGACTGTCAAAAAGAGGTAATTTTTATCGCATGTCAGGGTTGTGTAACTTGTGACACTTATCACAAAGGTTTGAACCAGGTTGACACTTGTCACAAAGGTTTGAAGCAGGATAGATCGAAAGTGAATGTTTGAAGTGAGATGTTGCATAAGACTTTAGGACCATTTGCCTTCAATGGTCAGAGTTTGCCTCCGTAAACTGACTAAGTATATTTGTCCTTAGTTGGAGGACTGTCAAAAAGAGGTCATTTTATCGGATGTCAGGGTTGTGTAACTTGTGACACTTGTCACACAGGTTTGAACCAGGTTGACACTTGTCACAAAGGTTTGAACCAGGTTGACACTTGTCACAAAGGTTTGAAGCAGGATAGATCGAAAGTGAATGTTTGAAGTGAGATGTTGCATAAGACTTTAGGACCATTTGCCTTCAATGGTCAGAGTTTGCCTCGGTAAACTGACTAAGTATATTTGTCCACAGTTGGAGGACCGTCAAAAAGAGGTCATTTTGTCGCATGTCGGGGTTGTGTCACTTGTGACACTTGTCACAAAGGTTTGAACCTTCCTTGCGAAAGAACGACCACTACTAAATATATAAATTTTTCCATTCTTAAGTAATCTGTTAAAGTTATTTAGGGACCTTTGTGGACACCCAGTAACCTTTCTGTTAATATTTTGTATACCAAAAGGATAACAAAGTATTTTATGAACTGAATTCTATTGCAGCAGTGGTCACAAATTATATGAACATCCTTAACCAGAAAACAAAATGCTTTGAAAAATATTTTGATGATAATAACAGTAATAATAATAATAATAATAATAATAATAATAATAATAATCGATTACAGGAAAAAGATGGTACTTTGTAATATTTCTTGCGTAATATAGTAAGAAAAATGCAATTTAAAATGAAATATACTAAAATTTATTTTTAGTGATTTTGTAAATTATAATTCTGGTATAAAAACAGCTTAGTCTTCTAAAAACACAAAAAAACAAAAATATTTGCATTAAAAACACCAACATATTTGCATTTAAAAGCACTTTGTTGAAAATGAGCAATTAAATTAGTATAAACGCTTCTCTTCGAAGTTTATAATTTAGCTCTAAAAATCGAAGAATTACAATTAAAAGTTTCTATCTCTTCATTCTGCTTCAGTTTGCAAAACTTTCAGTATCATCGTATTATTATGCTAGAAGCATTTAATACATCAATACATATTTTTACAGTTTTAGTTTTGTAATTAATTCGTTTTAATAGCTTTTGAAATGTTTCGGGTGTTTTTTTTAATCCTTCGAAGAACATTAAGTTAGCAACATCTGTTTCTTATGTAACATATCACAAATACTGTACTTAAATTTCATTCGCTTTCACATAAACGTTTTTCTTACATGTATCAAATTACTTTTAATTAAAGCTTTTTTACAGTATTAATGTATAAGAATTTACTTTTGTTACATCAAAGTGCTCATTTCACAAACTTTTCACGCCTATTAATTTCTGAAAAACATCAAACGTTAAAATTATTATTTCATTTACAATGGTGAACCGTTTCATAAGCATTTTTATTCTCCAAGTTCGTACAATGTAAAAACAAGAAGATATGACTTTATTTATTCCACGAAGATATGACTTTATTTATCTCTGCTTTTGTTGGCAAAAGTGCTTTACACAAAGTACTGTTTAGAATATTAAGATAAAATACAGCTTAAATAATTAGTTTTTAAGCAACACAATATAACAAATTATGCCTTCATTTATAGTAGAATCATCAGTATGTAAGATAACATCTAAAAACAGTTATCATAATTTGAGACAAACAGTTCGAATCAATTTCGTAAGAGTTAAGACATTTTGCGGTCAATCAATTTAGTTTCTCGGCGAAAATAGGCTTCCAATATTTTGGTTCGATGTCACAGATCATCCTCCAAGCTCTTCAAACACGAAAGGCGTAGAGATCGTAGTTTATAATAAAGCTGCTAATTCAACAGATATATTGCCTATCCAAGACATACCGGTGTTGGCTTACCTGGAACAGTTTGCTGAGTTCAAGATATTTAGCTTTTTTCTGCATTATATCAACACCGATGTTATATTTTGATGGTGGTAGAACATTTACTTCTTCAACAACAATAAACTTCTGTGTTATTTTTAACCTCAATTATGCCCTAATCTTAGGACGACAGATCTACGACGATGAGATAATAGGTGGACTGGCCAAAGAGTGCAAGCCTTAAAGATGGTGGCCGTCTTTCTATCTCGGAACTTGCTTCGCGGGTCAAGTTAGAAATCAACTCCTCTTCGAGGAATGTGGTTCACACACATGAGTGGTACGTTGGTAACCACCCTGGCGCAGCTCTAACAGAGGCAAGCAATAGATTGGAGCAAACGGCTCTAGCTAAGCTGCGCACTGGTCATCTGCGCGTTCTATGTTTTATGTCGAGCAATAAAGTCCACCCCTTTTATCCGAAATGCTACTTGACCCAAGCCATTCCTGCCTATATCTTGTCTTGCATTGGTTGCCTGAAAAGCCAACTGCTCTCCTTCCTGGTTACGTTCTTCGGGCTTTTGATGGACCTGATCTGATGTTGCGGTCGAATAGGTGGGATGAGCCACAAGCAACAAACAGGACGACGCTGTCCTATCTGCAAATGAATGATTCAAGAAGTTACATCTATGAACTAATTGCCATGAACTATGGAATTAGAGGTAAACCTTGCCTGGACTTCTGTTGCAAACAAGATAGTATGCGTAATCCATTTTTATGAATAACATTTTATTCAAATTTCATTGAAATCAATCAATCAGACTGAGTCACTCTTGATCTTCCAGATTTATGCAGTCATTGATTTCAAATTACATCAAAATATTGGAAGTCTTTCAGCCAATGATTGAACCAAATTAACCCAAAAGTTTTAAGTTTTTGTGAGGTGATCTGAGCTATTGCAGGGTTTTAAAAATAGCATAAATTATACAGTTTTACTAAAAATAATTACAGCTTGATTACAATAGCATAAAAGTTCACATATTTAACTTACTGTAAGAATTATTTCTTCAGTTCTGTTATAACAATCTTAAAATTTAGATTCTGGAAAACGTTTTTGCACCTTTCACATAAATCACATGATACACTTTCTAAAGTTTTATTTCTTATCACAGCTGACCAAACTTTCACTGTTTCCTATCCTGGACGATTCTCATTATAATAACCTTCACGCTTTCTTTGTCTTTTACTGTTTATTGAACAGCAGTCGGCATATACAGAAATAGCCATTAGCTTGATCAAATATTACACTAGAAATAGCACACTGAATTCAGACTAGATTCGTTAGTAATGACGTATCTAGAAGTTTATAATTAAGTCATAAAACACTTTTACTATTTAATTGGCTTTGTTCTTGTTATTGAGTAAAATATCATATATTGAATTTCTGGAATAATTTATAAAATTTCGAATTAACGCTCAAGATGAGAAGCACTTCTGACTTCATGAATGTTTTTGTTTCAAATATAAATGTTAAAGTGGAATAGATGTTTAATAGTTGCAAAGCAAAATTGGGAACCGCATTGCAAATGTACTCATAATAAAACACTGTATGCTGGCCGATTTTTTTTAATTGTAATATGCTATAATAGGGTCAAAAAGAAATTTTACCTATATTCTAAAATTCCAGAAACTTGAGATTTTAAAGTCTATTCAAATATTTGTTATTATGCTATTTTCGTATGTAATAATTTTTTATTATTTATTTTATAAATTTAAAAATTGTTTTTAAAATTAAAAAATTATTTATGTTTTATTAAATTTAAATTTTTTTAATTTTCCCATAAATTGCATTTCAAAGGTTTAAATTTTAAAATTTTTCCAATTAACATTCGATTTTTTTTAAAATTAGATCTTTTTATCTGAATACCGAACGGAACATTCAATAGTAAATAATGATTAGAAATTCAATCTTAGGTCCAAATTTCGAAACTTTTAAACATGACTCAATTTTTATTACAAGTGCTGCTAGAAGTAGATGCCTTACGTGCTTTATTTTGACGTGCACATTGTTGACCAATTTAACACAAAGATGAGAACACTTAGACTAGGATCAGAAAACTGCATCACATCAAAATCCAAACTTCACTTGGAATTCACTTGGAAACTTCACTTGGAATTTCGTACTTTGATGCTATATAGGACTAAAAAACATTGGACCATGCAATCGTACTCACGTCTACCTCACTTGACAAAACGAAAGTACAAACTTTGGAAAGTTATTAAGTATCACCATTACAAACGCAAGATGTGTAAACAGACGCAAATTTCCAACCAAGTGGATGCCGAAGAAGTAACAGGTGCAAACATGTGTGACTTAAATTAAGCGATGAATCGCAGTTTTATATGAAATGAAATCCTTAGAAGAGGAGGGCAATACATAGAACAGAAGCATAATCCATAAAGTCAGTTGCAGAAAGCGACTCAAATTTAAAACACATCTTAGACAATAAAGTTCCCAGCAAAGAAATACTGCCTTGGCACACATCAAACATTATCTTCATTCATTCCAAAGACGCTGAAGATGAAACTGAAAAACATAGTAAACTTCCTGGTTTCTCCTGCGACAATAGCTCCTTTAACTGCTCTTTTCTAAAAGTTCTTTGACTGTAAATATCTCATTCCAGTGCAGTAGACCATATTTGCAGCAAGAGCTGTAGAAGATCGAGGCAAGGAGTTTGATGAGATATTATCTGACACATATAAATTTAAGCTTTTCAAGTCTAGTGGCAATTTAGCCTCATTGAGACAACGATGCCATTTCTAAATTGAAATAAGTAAAGAATTTAAGAATTCTTCTGCAGTTTTATTTTATAATTCACTCTTCCAAATGCTAAGCAATCTTTCGGCACCGAAGGAACAATATAATATGCACTTACGTCTAGTAACTACCGATCAAAATATCAAATATATTATACTCATATATTCATCCGATACGATGGAAATGAAATTTAATGCACTTTATTAGTGTATACTTCTAAACAACATCTTAAGCTTCTTAATATTCTTTATCTTTAGCTTGTTAGCTTGTCCACTTTTTTCCCCGCTGAAGAATTGTAAGATTTTAACTAGTTCTTCAACGAGTCCTCATGTTACTTTAGTATAATTCATTTGCTAAAAATACGAGTTTTATCTATTGCTATTCTCATTAAAAATCTATAAGAAATACCTCCAAACTTCGATGCAAAATATGAGAGAATGCCTCCAAATTTGTAACTGCTGGTGACATTTTCTGGCCGTATCGTTTTAGCTTCGGCATGGTTCAGTTTCTCAAACATCTATGTTCAGATTATTACCCGATGTAGTGACTCTGCTATATATATACATATATCTAAATATACCTAAATATATAACACAGTACCCTTGAATATGGGACTGAAGAGAACAGTAGATTTTTGAAAACTAGAATCTGTTTCGAAGCATAAGTAATTGTATATCATAATGAGCTTCATTCCAGAGATTTTATCGGACCTCATGAATTCCATTCTTCGCGATAAATCTCTTTAGCCCACAGAAGTAGCAGCAAAAAGTAACGCCTTTTCTCCTATTGACGAATGGTAACTTTCTTCTAAATGATACCTTGCAAAATGATACTTCGATTGATGGACGTCGACCAGAGTTGGCAAAGATGATTTTGCATTTTTGATTCATTGCAGCTTCTTTAAAATCCTTTAATAACCTCATATGCTTCAAGACTTGACATAAAGACGTAAAATACCCATAAACCAATGAAAAGGATAACAGTGGGCGCTTTGTACTTCATAGGGCCACCCAGCTCACCACCAACCAATGCGCTTCGTCTTAGCATCAACACGGTGCAGCAGATAAAAGCGCACACACAGAAAAGCGTGACAGAGAATGCCAGATTTCCTGGTTGCACTAAGAATTGCTGACCCTTGGAGGCATGGTAGAGAGCCGCTATGGACCAGGCAATGCCGATGCCTAGGAAAACATTCACTGCATTACTTCCTGTTACATTACCGATGGAAGAATCGGCATACTTGTCGTTCTGAGCTGCTACTTTGCTGGCGAATGTGTCTGCAAAGAAATAAATGCAAGAATCAGATTAGTATAAAGTTCTTAATTAGTATTTCCTAAACAGCATAATGGCATAGCTAAATATTTCAAAGAGTAACAAAATACACACACACGCATACGCACACAAGCACACCGAAGACCTAGTAGTAGGAAGCACAGACGTAACTTGCGTAAATTTTCAGGTCTGCTATTTGCTATTTTGGAGGTTAAATAAAACTTTCTTTTGCTATGGGAGTAAAACGAGCGACGAAGATCCATATACCTATACTAGAATAACAGACAGAAATTCGAGAAATTCTAGCTGTGAGAAATGAAATAACTGGCACCGTTTATTAAACTAAAAGTTAGTGATAAGCTGCTGAATAATAAATTATCGAGAAGATCACGTAAAATTTAATTACAATTGGTATCATGAACCAGAATAGGAATACCGTATTTACTCGTGTATTTTCTAATCGTTATTCCCCCAGAATTTAGCACAATGTTCAGAAACCTTTTTTAAATAGTCATGCTTTTTTTTTTTTTGTAATACTTCATCAAAACGGAGCCAAGAATATCGCCAAGTTTAAACTACGCGCATATTGTTTGTGGCTGCCATATCTCCGCTACCTTTTTTAATAGGGCATCAAAAGGCTTATGTTTCCCAAAGGATTTCCGCCATATGAATTCCGAAAGATACGACTCTACGTGATGTCCAGCCGTACACTTTTGCTTTTTGCTTTGTCATTTAACATAGCAAAACAATTTTTCCACATTTTGGGTGGGAGAACCCGTTATTGGATCAACAAAACTAAATTTCTGTTTCACAGTTAAATGGCTGAAATTAGTCTTTTCAAGCTCTTCTGTTAATAGGCTCGACAACAGACTGAATATATTGTCAACCCTTTCCACTACGTCGTCTACAGTCTTTAACATCAATGTGCTTGCTTCCCGATTTGGAACCTTAACAAGAAAGAACTTGCCACCTAACTGCATAACCCGCCGAATATCCACTGCTGTGGAAATATCCAGCCAGCGTTTCTTTTCCGCTGCACGAACAAACTCTCCGCAATTTCAACTATTTTTCCAGGCTCACTTATCCGTCCTTTAGGTTGTCGAAGTAAGTATAGCTAACAAACCCCTCTCATAATATTCAGCGTCAATTGTGGTACTTTGCAACACGTTGAGCTGTTTATCGCACCACGTAAGCGGCGTTAGTTCCTTTGTCTAACAGTAGATGAAATGCAGCGCTGTTAGGAATAATATTGTTACGCTATTTTCTCTCTTCACGTTTGTACGGGGTTCGTAGATTTGGAGTGAATAACGACGACACTTGATGAAGGATCGAAACACACTTTATTTAGCCAGTACTAATAAGGACAGCTTCAAAACCACGTTACAGTCGTCGAAGAACTACTATTAACACGCTGACACAATCAGCGACACAGCCTTCAGGTTATCAGCTAAAACGGTGGAGACAGCTTCACTGCAAAGCACCAGAGTACAGCTCAGGACTCTGCTCGGTCGTTCTCGGAATTCCACGTACTCTCGAGACTCTTCACACTACAAATCGCGATGCACTCGACGTCACACAGAGCACGACTCCGGCTCTTCGATTTAGTCGTTCCCGGAGCTCAACACGCTCTCTCGACGATGCACTAACCGCGATACACTAAGAGACTCTTCCGGTGCACTCGACACTCGCTGCCCGGCTGTCAACTCGAGCGACTCCGCAGGGATTGACTCGCTAGACGAGATACCAACTCGATATTAACTATCTCGCACTCTAGACGAGGCATACACACACAAACTGACTGCGAACCAGCAGGGTTTATATAGCTTTCGGCTTGTGTTCGAGAACATTCTGGGCTAAACCGGTAAGAATTCGTTCCAGAAGGTTCTCCATCCGTCCATGGCATGTCGCCAAATGGGCGATTTCTCGCCAAATATGGCAACCCTGCCCTTCCTTGCCATTTTATGGCAACCCTAAAAACTGTTTTGCGGAGAAGCTATCCCACCGCGCCTGTACATTTCGTAACAATATTTTGGAATTACTGAACCAGCTGTCGAATTGAATGCTCTTTTTGGTTAGAGTAGACTTTAAGGTTCCCCTTGCATTATGGCGAAGTTGTTGTTTCATTTATGGTAGCCTGAGTAGTTGAATGTGATGGAAACTATTGTGACGTAATCGGGTGCATGATTCTGGGAAATTTTGAATCATGGGATGTTTTGTAAGCGCTTTTGTGGTGTGTTGGTTTCATTGTTTAAACGGTAGAATGGCTGAATGTAGTAAGATTAATTTGAAGTTCCTGTACGATTTTGAACGAAAAAGAGCGTTAATTGACTGGTGTGTAAATGAAGGTTTACATAGTAGCCATTTTAAGTATCCTGTATGTAGGAAGGATATGCGTCTAGTCGCACCTAAAAACCGTTTAGATGAATTTGAATAGGTTTGTAGGAAGAAAGATTCAGAAGTGACAACGCCGATACGGATTCGAGTTCTGATAATTTTAAGAAGTTTTTGGATGCTGTTAAGGAATTTGTGTGCACCGACTAAAGACGAAGGAACTTTAAAATAAGTGGGATTTGCTTTTTGTAAGGCTAAATGTAACATGTTTCTTTTTTGTTATGTTTTTTTGGTTTAAAATGTAGTTTTTGAGATATGAATTTTTTGTTGATTGTTGCAGAATTGAGTGCTGCTTTGATTTTTAAGTGAAAATATATCGATGTGTACATGGGCAAATTGAGGAAGGCGCAATGCAGTGTGCAATCTTGGATTTTAAAGTGAAAATGGGTGGACGTGTACATGGATAAAGTCAAGGGAGTGCGCAATGCCATTTTTGTGCAATTCGGGGATTTTTTTTTAAAGTGGAATAGGTCGATGTGTACATGGATACCAAGTTTGTGCGATTCTTTTTTCTTGTTATTTTGCCTGTGCGTAGCTGCGAATTTTGGCGCAAAAATCGCCATTTTGCAAGCCAAAATAATAAGTCAAAGAATTGCACAAACTCGGTATTCATGTACCGCCAAAAATCGCCAAGGGGTACCCTAAAATATACATTAACCCTCTTGTTTTGTTTACAACCTTTGGTGTTACATTTCCACATACTTTCATTTATAAAGAATTTCGTTTCGAGGCAATTTAATCGTATTCGATTGCAAGGTAATATATAGTTTTCCTGGAAAAAAGAAAGCGCATCTTCTTTACTTCTTGGTAGATTAAAAATTGTGAAAATATTTTACAATAATTATATTAAAAAGATTACTACAATATTACGCTGTTCATCAGATTCGGCAAATAGAAGTGAAAAGTTAAAGTATAAAGCGTTTTACATAAATGATTAAACTGAAAAAAGACAATTACGATATTATACGGTTCATCAGACTCGACAAATAGAAGTTGATCTGGGACCAAAAAACATTATGATTTCACGTGGTTTACATAATCTGGCGATTTATTGGGACAGTCGTGAAAAACCAAGTGGCAGGCATTTTTTTTTTCAAAGCATTCAGAAAGTGAGCTTCTCTAAATTTTAAAATGGATTCGTTTATTCAGAGGCTGCTTTTATCTTGCTAGCATCAACTCACTCGTAGATTTATGGGTGCATGACTTTGTTTGCTTTTATCTTGCTAATATCAACTCGTTCGTAGATTTTTGGGTGCATGGCTTTGTTTGCTTAAGCAATAACAGTGAAGAGCTTGAAGAAAACTGAGATATCTAATGCTTTTGATAATTTTGAAGATGAGAAGATAGACTGAACGGTGACAATGACCACTTATAGATTGTAGCAAGTGACACACGCAGCAGTTCCAGCAGCACTGAATAATTTGAGTCCTAGGGTTGGCAGTGAATAGCAGAAAGAGCCAGCTAGATTCAAATTACAAAGAAGTAGAAATTAAGATATTTTTACGAAATGTCCAGGCGGTGTAAGATAGCTTTCCCCGTAAAGCAGGTTTAGGGTTGGTATAAAATGGCAAAACAAGGCAGGGTTGCCACATTTGGCGACAAAATTGGCGATATACCATGGACGGAGAACCTTCTGGAACGAATTCTTACCGGTTTAGACAGAACGTTCTCGAACACAAGCCGAAAGTTATATAAACCCTGCTGGTACGCGGAGAGAGAGTGCGAGAGTGCGAGTGTCAAGTTAGTCAGTCCGTGCGGAGTCGATCGAGTTCACAGCCGGGCAGCGAGTGCCGAGTTGGTCGTCGAGTGCATCGAAAGAGTCTCTTAGTGTATTGCGGTTAGTGCGTCGTCGAGAGAGTGTGTTGAGCTCCGGGAACGACTGAACCAAAGAATCGGGAGCTGTGCTCTGTGTGTCGTCGAGTGCATCGCGAGTTGTAGCGTGGAGAGTCTCGAGAGTACGTGGAGTTCCGAGAACGACCGATCAGAGTCGGGAGCTGTACTCTGGGGCTTTGCAGTGAAGCTGTCTTCACCGTTATAGTCTGATAACCTGAAGGCTGTGTCGCTGATTGTTCCAGCGAGTGTATAGTAGATCTTCGACGACTGTAAAACGTGACTTTGAAGCTGTCCTGATGAATATTGGTCAATAAAGAGTGTTTCATCAAGTGATGTTGTCATTATTCACTCCAAATCCCTAACGAACCCCGTACGTACATAACATGTAAAGGAAGAAAATAACTTAACAAAATGTTATTAGATAGCGTAATGTTAATAGCACTACGTATTCGTGTTGACATGTAATTTTCTTTTAAATAAGTAATATTATGACAGCTACCCATTGTTAAACCTTTAGCACTTTTCATTTGTGCAATTCTTGTGTAAATGCGTCTTACAGTAAGACTGTAGGGCTGTAAGCGCGTCTATCAGAAATCAAATTATTCTCATAATTTTCCCCTCACGATCAGCGTATGATGAAATTATTAGAAAGATAAAAAGGCGGAGAATACGCCAGGAAATACAGGTATAAAATGTCTCCAGGAAAACTAATCTTTCCCGCAGAGGAAGTAAGTTCTATTTAACTTTCTAAATCACAGTCCAGGAAAATTTCTCATGCCAG